TCAATGAGTTTTTTGGATCCAAAAACGCCGGGCCAGACCGTGAAAAAACAACTCTTAGATACCTATTATATACAGGTACATAACACGCACGCATACATATTTATGTTTTTTGTATTTTTTTTTTTTTTTTGTACACCGCAATATTAATTAATGTTTTCTTTTTTGTTCGGCGTTTCAATTAATGCGCGGCCCGGTTTTTTTTTCCATTCGAAAATTAATGCAATATATTAAATTTGTAGTTACAGATTTCGGTTGTATGAATTTCAAAAAAAAAAAAAATAATAATAATAATAATAATAATCGTTTCGGTTTAGCGTAACATATTTTTTTTTTCGCCATGCTGTTTCATTCGATACTCCAAATAATAATAGTCGAAACATCAAGTACCTAATACCGTATAACCATACAGGTATGGATCGAGTCGGACTGGCCCACTGTGCTACTGCAGTTCTATACACAGCCAGTGTTGCGATAAAAATGTAATGTTCTTAAATATCTAATGAAAAATGAGAAAACTAGAATAACCAAATGATATACAAATAAATGATACATAACAATTATGTTTAGATTGAAAAAAAAGTAAAAGAAATGATTATTTTGTATATTTACATATACAAATATATATATCATACATGTATATTATCATACAACTATGAGATAACACATCGTATCAGATTTGGTACACAATATTGCCTAGATTTCAAAAAGTTTGAAAATGATTTATGCGTATTAATAATCAATTTATTCAACCATAGATAAATATAAATTAAATGATTTCTAATAAATATATAAGTCACGAATTAAAAAAGATTTATCTCAGATAACGACTCGGGTAATTTATTTATCATATATCAGAGTACTAAAAAAATAAATACAATACTCTACAGTACAGGAGCCCAGTAATGGTTTGTAAGGCCAACAGGGTCGCCCCTGATCGTGTTGCCACTACTGGCCACGGTCCACCAAGGCCCGTATTTTCTAAAATATATACACCGTTAAAAGTAGAATCGTAGACAAAAATAATAATCGTACATTTCTTTTTTTTTTTTTAATTCTTTTTGTAAAAATCATATAAAAAAAGACGGATATATTTCGAACAATAGGCGAGCCAATGTTATAGATGAGAAGTGGGGAAGGTAGGATAAAGAGGGGAAATTTATATCTGCACGTAAATTCATAAGCTATTGCTGACCAAAAAACAATTCATAGCAAAGTTTATTTTATACATGTAAAATTTCCCGTTTTTCTTACGTTGTCTCTCGGTTATTATGAAAACCACTTGAAAAATCAAAAAATAATCTCCCTTGAGTAACTTAAGATCACAAATAAAAAAAAAAATAAAAACACTTTACGTGAAACTTTAATTCAATATTGTTTCTACATTCACAAATTCCTGAGTTACCATTAGCCAAGGAACGACGCACAAGACTATGAGGCTCTGTCTTCCCAACTTCTCACCCACAACAGTGACCTACCCACGAAGTGAAGTATGTCCGGCTTTTAAAAAATATATACATTTATACTTATAAATATTGCTAATTTATTGCGCATAAAACACGGGTTTAGTTAAATATTGTACGTTTTGTCATATTATTATTCAAATGAACAATATTTAAACGAATTTTTAGTTGCTAATTGTCGAGCTCTACAATATAATACAAAACAAAATTGAGAAATACAAAAGATCACTAAGATTATCGAGTGTTTTTATACATTTACCCAAAAACATATTATTGTTTTCGAGAAATCTCGTAGATTAAATCATAACACGTACTTAAATACAGTGTAAGATATTACTCTAATTTATACTATTTCTTTTTTTTTTTTTTTTTACTTGTCAATTATATGATCTTATAATTACAGCTTATGACAGCGATAATGACCAGTAGTTGTTCTGTAAAGTGATAATTAGCGTGCATTGTACCTACCTACTGATATTTTATGTTCTTGCGTTTATTTTTGATTTAGGAAGTTGAAGTTAGTCTCATTTTTCAAACCTGCAAACCTGTACGCATCAATCCGAGAAGTTTCACGAAATATATTCGACCGCGGAAACCTAAACCAAAAAAAGACTATCCACTTAAATACCTACGATATGTATTATGCCTGTGAGTATTATAAACGTTATTATCAATAAATCTTATATTTATCTCTTATCACTTCGTTAGTAATACATTTTTTTTTTTCTTACCATAAACATAATATAATATTGCTATCGTTTATAAATATTCTTCTAATTTATTTTATATTGATTGATTTTTTTTATTTCGCCAGCGATTTTCTCCTAGAATTTTAAATTAATTTGATTCATTTTTCCAATCAGAATATATAACAGTGTTTAAGATTTATTAATTGAATACGGTTATAAAATGTTTAATGTAATGTTCATATACCTTCAACACTGGTAATAAATTTGAGTTTCATTTTTAAACAATAACTTTTCTCTGTTACTTTTTCACTCAAATCTATGTGGATAATCGCTGGATCATGATAAAAAAAAAAATCATTCTTTATACATCAGTTATACTACTACAAAATACCCGTAAGCAGCAGAGTTCCGTCACTAGAGTCGAATTATCCCACAGCTGACTAGCAGTTAAAATATTTAATTTTTTTTTTTAAATAACAAAAAAATGTCATCAAAATAGGTAAAGTATTTATCATAATTTTTCAACATACAGACGATGGAAACAGAGATTGGAAGTTGAACCTTCCTCGAAAACAATGCTATTTATGTATGTAATTTTTAAGTCCATTACTTGCTTTGATGATAAAGGTAGTGAAATCCAATATTTCTGTGAAAACATGAAATCGGAGCATAAAATGGTAGGACAGAATGTTGAAAGTTAAAACCCAAAAAGACACATCCTTGATACTTACTTAATGCACATCAGAGGTGGAATTTGTCAAATAAATGAAATGAGCATTTTTTTGCCCATTCCTTAAATTGGCCAAGCGAATTCACATAATAAGCAAAATATTATAAATAAATTGCCCGTTTCATAAATTAAGCAAAACTATAGTAACGTAGGTACACATTTTTGCCATATTAATAGTCGTTAAAATGATATTTAGAATAAATCGTAAATTATTATAAATGTATTATTATTAATAGTAATTATTTGTATAAACTTTAAAGTGAATTAAGTACAAAAAAAAAAAGTTGAAAATAAATTAGGCGACGCGCTTGACCATTCCATAAATTGAACAAATTTGGATACGTAATACGTTTGTAACATATTGTACAATATTACATCTCCTCGCTTCATTTGAGAGGGTCGTTAGGGGTGTATAAAGCTAAAATTTACACCGTCCTACACACGTTGAAGTTCATATTGAAATTCAATCGAAATTCACTTCAATCCATCTATACAAATTATATTCTAACTGCCGAGTATGAGCTCATGTGATCCACAGGGAGCCGCTAAAAGTGTCCAATAGTAATTAGTATAAAATTATAAAATTATACATAGGTAATCGTATATATATATAAACATGTGTCAAATAAAATACAGCGCAATAGTCCCTATTTTTGGGGAAATTTTGACAAGAATAATAAATTATCATACATTTTCATAATCGCTATAGTTCCATCGAATTCCGAGCTAGTGGATATATTAAAAATTATGACTTTTTATAATACTGCATCTATATTGTATTATTGCGCATAAATTATTTACAGCGAGCAGCAAACGTATTTATTTTGATTAACGTTTTAGTTTCGTTTAAATAATTTACATATTTATACGGTGTTTTATAAAATATAGGTATGTACCTATGCGTGGTGTTGCACGAAATCGGCCAAAAGTTTGAGTTATAACATGGATTAGGAGGTACACACTATTTATAAAGTAAAAACTAGTCGCAGCAAACGTAAGAATATACGTTGTCCTAACACTCGAATAGTAGGTAGTAAAAAGCTGAATATAATTCGTTTCCTCGCATATATTACATTTTAGATTCTGAGTGGAGCGAGTAATGTATTGGTTTTAAAATGATATTTAATTAAATTTTTTTCCCTGTGAATAAATTGTCTACCGACAATTTTGCTCCGACTTACAATGACAGCACTTTCAACTTTAAGGGGGTTTGTGTCGAAGAAAAACTTAACCTTTCCGAAATTTGGTGGCTATAAAGGGTCACTGGGTGATTTGTTGAAAATAAATAGGTAAAAACCCGGGGGAATACGAAAAAATAGGTGCAACATTAAACAAATATTGTTAACGAAAATTTATAATGCATATGTAATTATTTACCATAATAATATGACATATATACGACATATATCGTATATAATATATTGTTGGCAAAGTAACACTATTAACCAAACTCCGCTCAGAATCGTTTTTTTCGTTAGCAATGGTTGATCGTTGCGTGAAAATATACATTAAGTTTCCCCTCTATTACCTTCCCAACTTCCCACTCACGTGCGAAGTATGTCAGTCTTTTTTAATTTTAACATAAAATCTATATATTTTTTTTTCGACAAATTCAAAGTAAATATTAAAATACCGGATTAAAGGGAAATGTAATAATAATAATATGTAGGTACTAAAAGGCTCGTTGAAATTTGAAATTGTTTTATTTATCATTATTTTGTTAAAGTAAGGAAAATAAGGAGACGATTTATAAAAATCGAATTTATTATATTGTTTTACTGTTGCGGTGGAAAAGAGTAAACTATAATAAAATGACACGGGTTTTTCGTCGTACGTGCATTGCGAAACCGTATGCGATTTGTAAAGTTTAACAATAAGTGTGCGTAAGTATTTGTGGCTATACCGAATCGCAGGGAAAAAAAAAATCGCGATACATTTAACCGAAACTGGAAATTAGGAATTAACGAGCACGCCAGACTGACGAGCCGAGGTCGCAACACTGAACAAATAACTTCCTGTTTACAATAATAATAATATTATTTTTTATTATTATTTTATTATTGTTGTTGATACTCGGGTAATTTTACGAGAGTGCCGAGGCGAGAGCGTGCGCGTATTGATCCGAAACTTTTATGTTTTCGAATCGTTTTCTATTACTCGTTCAGTCGTCCGAAATTTCTACTAGTATTTCCGAATGGTCAATATCGTATGTTAGATAGGTACGAAATGAAAACTATAATCCGCGCAACGAATTGTATTACACCCGTACGTTAAAAACGTATATTTCATCAGAATGCGGAATACGGATTTCTCGCGTATACGAGAACTTAAACAGCCATACGGCTGTAGCGCTGCATTATATTATTGTGCGCATTTTTCACGTGGTGGGTAAGCTTTATTATTATTATCTTTTTTATTTTTTTTTTTCATGAATTCGACTACGAATACGATAATATTATATTATGCTCGTAATACGAGTTTAATACGACGGTTACGTCGTTAATTTCGTAATTCGTTTCTTACATTCCCGACCGCGTAACAATAATAATAATATTATTACGATTTCGATTAACTTTAGGGTTGCTACACTACTGCAGACAGCAGACGTGGCATTCAATTAAACAGCAGATTCAAAAACATGCCGCGCGAGTCGGTCGTTCTTTCAGGCGCTCGTCAACGGGTGATATTTTATTTATTTATTTTTTATTTTTTATTTTTTTTTTTTTAATCATACGCGCCTAACCTACGGGAAATAACGTCGGTTCTTTGGACACGACTATACCTATGCGGCGCGGGACTACTGCCGAGGGTGTGAACGGTCGAAAACCCGAGATCTGCAGAGCGGGAAGCGTTAACGACCCAGTGAACTCTAATGATAATGACATTTTCGGTCCCATGGATAGGCCCTTGATCCACGCTAATGGTGCTATATTATTATTACATATAGAAGAGCCACGTGTTATACGAAATGTCCAAAACCCTTAGAAACACGGCGCACTCGTAAAGCCATTATTATGATTATTATTACGTTATTATACTGTTGTTGTTGCGTTTATAGTAAATTATTATTTGTTGGCCGCGTTTGTGGAGAAAAAGACAGATGTACAGTCGTACACACACACATACACACACACACACACACACACACACACACACAATACACATAAATATTTCATATAAAATACGGACGCGCAATTACAATGTCATTAGCATTTGCAGACCACTGTTCATTATGATTTATAACGAATTGTACCCTAAAAACAAAAAACCATTCGAGTTTAACGTGCCCGGGGGTCTTTATATAATATAAAGACGACAAAACGAGTTTCCGGGATGAAAATATTCTCATCAAAGTCGGTTTTAATATTCACAAATTATTTTCGGGCTATAACAATAACGCGTGTATAGCGACTCGTACTGTGCAGCATTTTACAACAGTAATTCTGGTATTCAAAACGTAACAAAATTAATTTTGGTGTTTTTAAGATAATAATCCCATAGAAATACAGAACACCTATATCTGTATTTACATTCTTTTTGTATAATACAATTTGAACGTTAAAAAGCATTTGGCACTATTTCCTACCGTTTCGTTTTTATTTTTTCGTCCGGTTTTCTGCATAAACACAAAACCCGGACCCTCTACGACTATTTTTCTCGTTTTTCAAAATTTGTAACCTTCTCTTTTTCCCGGTTCACGTTAAACATTTATCATCAATAAGAAGACTAAGTTGCTGATGACCTGTATAGATAACCCCACTCGACTCGAAATTAAATTATTTTTTCGCAATAACAAAGTCCCATTTCCGTTAAACAATATTGTTATTAAAATACGGTATACTTTACACCATGAGTAGGCTACGGTTATATTCATAGGACAATAGTTGAAGAAGAAATAAATTAAGGTACTCCACAACGAGATCGGGAACTAAAACTCGCAGAACAGATGTAAATCCAATGATAACAGATATTTCACATTGAGCATTCTAAAAAAGTATAAATGAAGGTATTCTCAGATGAGATAAACAACTGAAACTCACAGGCAAAGTGTAAACATTAAGAAAATAAATGTATGAAATTATTTACAATACGAGTAGGTCACTTAAATATTATTAGATGAGCATCTGGGACATGTTTAAATAAGGTACTCACCGATGAAATACTGAGATTAAATACACTGAATGAGTTAAAATCTCATGGAAATACATGTTTGATGTACTTTACACCATAGATAGGTAATTTAAGTAGGTTAACTCTGAAAAAGATTAAATGTTATGATTATCTATATCCTATACAGAAAATCGACGAAACAGTCAGAGATGAATCAGTACCGATTACAAAATGATAAAGCCGCTAGAACGCCTCGCGCATCCGGATCTTGTACCCGGTAGGAAACCCAGAATAAAAGTCTCTGGTTTGACCTTCGTCGTGGTGTAAAATAAATAACAGTGGGTAACATTGGTGGAATTAATAACAGCGGTGGATAAGATGTTCGTATAAAATACAATTTCTTATCCTTCCCCTTCGTCCAAACTATTTTTAGTATAAACTTTCTTATTATTTCTTAAAATTAATTTACTGACAATACCAATTCAACTGTAATATGCTTTAAATAGTTTAAGTTAAGACTTTTTATTATGCTCTCCTTTACATATAGTTGAATAACCAGTGTAACATTGTGTCCGTCTTCAAACTTATCTTCTTCTCTGGTCTTAAAAGACCGTCCCATCTTACATCCAATTCCTCATTTTTTCGTATATTGATTTTTATTTCAGTTCAAAATTCCACCAAGTAATCCCACATCATTTCTTTTGATACATCTTTCCACCTCCTTAAGGGCATTCCCGGAAATCTTTTTTACAAGGGCTCTGGATTATCGCCGCTTTAATGAGCTCGGTTCAACTCTTAAAAATATTTCTTCTACTACTGTAATTACTTTGCAATAATAAGTCCTCTTGCTCAATATTCTTTCTCCTTCTCTACTCTCCGGTATCTTCATCCTTGATCCTTGAGCTCAGAGATTTTCCATAAGATTTTTCTTTCTAGTATTAGGAACGATTTTCTTTTTCTAATATTTATAGTTGCCACGTTTATGCTTTATAAGAGATAACGGGAAGAATCAAGCAACATTAATGTAATCGTTTTTCTTTTATAACTCTCTTATTAATGACAGTGATTTCAATTTTTCGATTTTCCTACGAAAAAACTTCAAAACGTCTTCCCAAAATCATCAATCATACCATAGATTGAAATAAATTATTTCAGTCGCGAATAACTAATTACTTATTATATTGTTTTCGCGTGCGTTAATCCGCACGAAAATGTCTAATAACGATATTAATTATTGTCGAAAACTCTCGTTATTTGCAAACGTCAGGACTCAAGTCTATTACGATCAATTGATGTCAAACTTCTGCTGCAGCCGTCCCCCTCTCGAAGTAACTTTAGTTTGATGTTCACCGGTTATTTCTATAATATCTTGTTCGCGTTCATTTTGTTTTCGCATCAAACTTACAATTGTGAATTCGTATGCCAAATCACGAAGTCCCTGCAGGTTTGGACCTCAAGAACGAAGACACAACTTGACGTATATTTTCGAAATCAATTACAATTCGAAAACATCACGATAAAAATGTTGCGAAATTATAATAGTATAATACAACTCCGTGAAACCGGGGGCGTTGGAGACGGAAAAACCAACGAGTGAAACTAACATTCAGTAATGATGGTAAAACAAAATTATGTAAATCGAGTTTGTGTGACTTTTGCGATACGATAACACGAGTGTGTAAGTTCGCCGGTGACGAAAAGTTTATCCGAATCGAGCGGAATAATTTTCACAGATAATCCTAGAGTTTTCCATGCGGTGTTTTACAGTTCAGATTCGAGATCAGTCCGCGAGAATAGAATTACTTTTCCCGAACAATTTTATTCAACACATTTTTTGCTTAACTCAAAATTGATTGAGTTACACTTACAATTTAATTTTTATTAAAGTTTTACTCGTTCGTGTAGGCCAATTACCTAAGTCAACTTTTCGTCGATTTCAATGATTTTTCATACATTTTTTTTTAATATCTGAAGATATAATATTATCGCTTACATTTGAAAAATATGCAACTGTGCCTTTTGGATTTTAACTTTGCGTAATACTTCACTGTAGTTTTTTTTTTTTTTTTTTTAAGTATTTAAGTATTTAGTAGTTTTTTAGCGCGTAAAATTGTATTCGTATTAAAGGCATAAACGTCCGAGCCCAAATATTTATTGCATTTGATAATACGATTCCGACAGATAAAAATCGACGACCACGGTACGCGGCAAAATAAATGAGGTCTTTGATGTGGAAACAAAGGACTGTTGAGCATGGGCTTCCAAAAGTACTTATTCTATATACATTTTATATAGGTATATATATAATATAATGGTATACGACAAGACTGCCGTACTTACGGAGCTTATCGTAGTATTATGCAAACTAGCGGCAAGACGACAGCCGGTCGCGGTTTTCGCATGCGTGGCCCGGAACGAGATAATAAACCGACAGACCAACTGCGAAACACTCTCAGCGACAACAACGACGACGACGACGGCGTTATTTAACCCTTTCAGGCCCGAATAACACAATATTGTTGAACACTTTCAAAATAATATACATTTAATACGAACAGGGACCGATTAACCAATAGACTGAATACGCTGCATCGTAGAGCGCCAGTCGGCCAATGTCAAGTCGGGTGCCACAAAACAATTTTTTTTTTTCAATTTATCCCTTTTGAAAAGCTTGTAGCTCAATACATCAGTAACCAGAGTCTTTAGTAGAGAATGCCGGGAGGGCCGATTCACGAATAATAAAGCGATGAACAAAAAAAGAAAAAAACCCCATTGATCAGGATCTAAATAAATAATTTAAATCAAAAAGACCAAAGACGACGGTGTAATGTCGAGATCCCTGTAAAATGATTAGATCGCACCGATGGAACGACCACTCCTTTTCTATTTTTAATATTTCTCGACAATTTGTTTTTTCTCCCCTCTCAAAAGATATCTTCTTTACATTACTAAAATAAAGTGTAGTTATCTGTTCGCCATCCCAAGCTCAATCTATAACATTCAGAGGTCTATAGTTTTACATACAGAATCAGATAAACATGTCCGTATGCATCTCAAAGTCGGATTTTTTAAATTCAACCACTGAAAGATGACTGACACAGGGCTTTTAGTATTTTTGAAACCAAAATTAATTTAAATTTTTTTTTAATTACGGATTTCCATAGCGGCACTGAAGAAAAAAAGAGCTAATACTGAGGATGGGAGTGGCTACAATTGTAGGTGAGAAGTTTGGAAGGTAGGATGCATAAGGTTATTTCATTTAT